TTGGCGCCCTGCCATGCCATACATCCGAGGAAGCCAGCTGCCGGCGAGCATTCTCCCACCGCAGCCCTCCATAATTGGGTTTTAAGCTTCATGGATAGCCTGTTGGCTGCTACGACGTTGTGTCTTGTTCGCTGGACAAACCTTGCCACCCTTCCGAACGCCCTGTCCGATGGCTCCGGCTTCTGTGATGGACATGCCCGACGCGCATCCCCACCACCTGCTTTACTGACTGCACCGTTCATTTCAATCTGCCGCCCCGTGAATCGTCTAGCTGTACGCGCCAGCGCCCGCTCGGTTCTTCCCCTTGAACCCCTTGGCAGCATCCAATGGTCGCTGTCCCCGCCTGCTGGCCGATCGCCGGGACATCAGTGCGCACGCGATCTGCCGCATTCGAGGGCGGCCGCGATGGTATGCCGGTAATCGAAGGTACAATTCGTGTTCCTGATCAATAGTCCGAACTAGAGGGACTAGGCTCCAGAGAAGTTGAAAGAAAGGCATCCCGCAAAACCACGGACAAGCACAAGACGAACGAAAACGTTTTGCCCTCCAAGGTCTCGGGTGGTACTGCCACATACTCTCCACGCACGACAGCCGCCTCGCAACCACGGCTCGACCGCACAGACCGGGGCTGAAGGCCGGCCGGCTCCTCGACTCGGCGGGCATCCACCAAAGTCTCCTCACCCCTTTCTGAAGAGCCTGGCACCAAGTCCTTCTAGAAGAGGTCTGATGTAGACGCCTCAAACACAAGATCGGCCGGGCCAGGGCGAAGGAGACGCTGCAGCTCCTCTAACAGGCTCCGGGCCTACAACCCCTCGTCCCTCAATTGGCGACTCCAGCATACCCAGTATCCGTGTTTCCCCCTGTCTGCCCAATGTTCAGAGCCAGATCCTGGTCGAAGACCAGGAAGCATCGCCCGCGAACAGACGACACCCCCGGTCCTACGTAGTGGTGGTTGGTTTGCCTGCGTGTGTCCGTCTGCTTTTTATCCTGCCGTTCCAACAGTATGCAGAAGGCGACAGCTTAAACTCTGACTTGAGTTGACAAGATTTGAAGCTTGGGCAAATAAACATGTCGTGCTAGGCTCGGCTCGCGCACCATGTCTCACTATTGGGCTTTTTTTTTTTTTTTGGCTTTTTGTTGTTTTCGCGTCTTTCGCCTGTCGAAAATGACGAGCTCCCCCCCGGCAGGCAAGACAAGGTGACAGTATGCCAGGGCCCAATCGGCGAGTTTTCGAACCGAATTTCAATCCTCAAAGTCGACGTCACCCGAGTTGGAAAACAACCATGTCGGCACTCGGCAGTGTTTCTGACGGCAACCGGGGCGTCTCTCACTTTCGGTGTGGTGCTTTGGCTTTTGTTGTCTCTTATTACAAGTCACCTTTCGCGGAGCTCACAACCGCTTTTGTCCTCCGGGAAATCATGCTCCGGCAGAGATGGTTTGAATTCCGTAACTCCTATCTAAACCGACCCGTCTCCGATACCCTTGCCCAGCTCTATGCCGGCAAACCATTGCAAAGTCCCCTGAAAAACCCTGAATGATCTCGCTGATGCCTCGCCGCAGCGTTTTTCCTCTTTTCTTTTTAAGCACGCTAGACTTTCTACTACACATCACCGTCTGTCTCACGACGACAGCCCACCTGTTTACGGCTTGCAACGGCCCATGTAACGGGGGTACAAGCATGTCGTGCGGACGGTGTGCTGGTTGGCGAGCCAGGCCAGGAAACGCTCAAGACCAAGTCCGTAGCCGCCGTGGGGGGAGGTGCCGTACCTAGAAAGGTCGTGGTTAGCGCTGATGTATGGACTCATCATTGTTGGGGAGAAACTCACTTTCTCTGATCAGTGTACCAGTAGTAGTCCTTGGACGGGATGCCCTCTCTGTCGTAAGCGGCGAGCAGCTCCTCATAGCCCTCCATTCTCATCGACCCGCCCACAATCTCACCAACACCAGGCATCAAACAGTCGACGCTCTCGGTCACGCGGGGGTCCTGGGGGTCCTTCTTCATGTAGAAGGCCTTGATCTCGGTGGGGAAGTGGGTGAGGAAGACGGGCTTGTTGATGGCGTCGGTCATCTTGCGCTCAGCAGCCTCGGCGATGTCGTCGCCAAACTTGTGGGGCTCGCCCTCCTCGTTGAGGATGGGGGGATCTTGGGCGTTGAGCCAGTCAATGGCGTCGGTGTACTTCATGCGCATGAAGGGACGGACGGGCCTCTTGAAATCGGGGTTGAGCTCCTTGATCAAGGCGGCAATCTCCTCGTCAGCCAGAACGTTGTCAATGACACGGCACATGACCTCCTCAAGGTGCTCCAGCAGATCTGGGAACTCGATGAAGTCCAACTCGGCCTCGACGTGAGAGTACTCGGCCAAATGTCTACGGGTCAAGCTGCGCTCGGCACGGAACGACTTCTCGATACAGTAGACGCTGCCGAGACTGGGGAGGACAGTCTCGAGGTAGAGCTGGGAGGATTGGGTGAGGTAGGCGGTCTCGTCGTAGTAAGGGACGGAGAAGAGCGTGGCACCGCCCTCGACCTGGGTCTGCACGAGGGCAGGCGGGGACACCTTAGTGATCTTAAGGTCCTTGTAGGTCTTGGTGAAGGCCCACTCGACAGCCGCGCGGATCTTCATGATAGCAGACGCGTTGTCGCCGCGAAGGACCAGGTGGCGGTTGTCCAGCATCTGGGAGTCCCATTGGTTCTGGGTCAGGGAGACCTTGTTGGTAATGGCATCGTCATCCCTGGGGGCGCTGCCGATGACCTTGTAGTAGTCGACGTGCAGCTCGCGGTTGTCGGGGGCCGTCTGGCCCTCGGGCACCTTCTTCAGCTCTCCGTAAACCCAGAGGGAAGTGCCCTGCGCGAAGGTGAGGGCATCGTATGTCTTGGTCAGATCGCCGGCCTGCAGAACGCACTGCAGGTGACCGTATCCGTCAATCAAGGTGATGAAAGTGGCCTGCTTCTGCTCGCGCAGTCTGTGGATGCGGCCGGCAATCTTGACGCGGGCGCCCTTCTTATCGCCGTCGCCGAGCTCGACGTTCTTCTCGCCAATGGTGATGCGCTTCGCGGGCGGGAGTGACTCATCCTCCTTGATGACAATCTGCTTGGCGGCCTCGAGGGTCTGCAGGCGCTGCTTCTCGCGCTCCTCCTCCTGGGCCTTGTTCTGCGCGGCCTTGGCCAGCTTCTTCTTATGAGCGTCAAGGGCGGACTGGGCCTTCTTGACGGCGCTCTTGGCAGGCTCCTTCCACTCGAGGCGGGCGGCCTCGTCGTCGCCCGTCTTGGAGGCGCGGGACAAGAACGTGCGGCCGGGAGTGTCGATGTTGGCGATGTATGCGGCGGCGAGGGACTTGAAGGGGGAGGATTCGGTACCCGTGGTCGTGGGCTCGTCGGCGCCGGCGTCGGTGTCGATGTAGACCTTGTCGTCTGACTTGAGGCGCTCGGCCAATTCTTGGACGGCGGCCATGTTTGCGGTGTTTCTAAAAGTGACTGGCTTCTCTTCCACTAAATTTTCAATCGAATTCGGAAAAGGGGGCGTATGTGACGATGACCGCAGTGGACACGTTGTTTGGTGACTCGTTTCTCGTCCCGGACGTGAGGCGGGAAATTTTTGGGCTGCGGTCGAGCGAGGATGGCGGGGTAGTAAAATCGGATTGAGTTGGTGGGAACGCGAGACGGAGGGGGAATCTAAGGTGACGGAGGAGGGGTGGGCCTGATGTACCTTCCCGCAGCTGCGCTGTGTGAGTCACTAAAACCTGACTCTTCGAACCGGGAACAAAGTACACAAATGTCACCAGAAGATGCGAATTAATACAGGAGCTTCTCTCGGGCGAGCATCTTCCGTCGAGGACCTCGTTTATCTAATTACGATTCCAGAGACCAGGCGAGGGAAGGGTGAGTCACTCATCGTTCCCAGGGGTTTGTTACACTGGTCAGACCCCTTGATACCTCTACCTGACGAGGAATATATGGTCCGTGGTTGCTACCGGCCCTCGGGCAACGCCAGGGCACACAAGTCAACAGTGAATCTGGCCTGCCGGCGCGCCGGACGAGCTGAGGACGATGCCTGTGGTTGAGCGGGTGTCAATTGAGCATTTCAATTGCTCAGAGATAAGGGGCCCAGATTGGAGAGGAGCTCGGGCCCTTGAACGATTGGGTTGGGCTCCGAAGATAGGAGTTTCGAACACACTCCCTTGACTCGCATGTTTGTTGTCATGAGAGCAAGCAGGGCAGGTAGAAGGGAAATTGAAAGGCGGTCAACTCACCGACATGCCAGACTTGTTGATGCTGTCCTGGGATGCCATGTGATTGATGGTGTTTTTGATCTCCGAAGACATGCTATGTTGACCGTTGTTCTCCAAACCAAGATACGGCCGGGATGTGGGGATATAGACTCGGCTGACGGCGCAAGTGACCTGGCTCTCGCTGTCTATTCGTCAAGAGAGTAATAATTCACTTCACTGGAGCCGAATCGATGCTAGTAGCACTCGTATCAGGATGAACAGCGCAAATAAGTAGAACGTCAGGACGGGCGTGCGTGGCAGAAGGTGCAGTTGACGTGAACCCAGCTGGCGATTCGCATGTTCGAGGAAGAAACCGCTGTAGACAACCAACTTGTGATTCGAACTTGTGGTTCGATATTAATATCAAGGCGCGATCACGCTGTGATTGTCACATAAGTCGTACATGGGCTGGCCGAAATTCTGGTGTAATCACCTAGCATCATCTCATTGACGGACACCTTCCCAACAAAAACGAACTAATCAGTTTCTAATCTTCAATATAAGCCGCTAAATTCGCTGGAGATAGGCCGTAAATGGCCCTGTGTGAGTCGATCATGAGATGCCTTTCGCCGCCTTTACCTCAAAACCCAACCCAACGCGCCTTTGTCATCCAGTTCGTCAACCCCAAGCTATGGGTGTGCTTCACGGGCGTAGCCAGTCCTCGTTTTGAACACCCCATCCTCTCACCATGATCGCTTCCTCCCGACGCCGGTATCATTCCCCAAAGCACATCGCTCACAACTCATCCTTCACCTCCGCCTCGACAGCAGCAGCGGCCTTGCCCTCCTTACCCATCCCCTCCAGCCCCTTCTTCACCATGGAGCTCAACACTTCATACACGACCTGCGCCGCGGCCAGCGCCGTCTCCTCGCCAGCGTTCTGGTACGCGGGCGAGACCTCGACAACATCGGCCCCCACGAGGTTCAGACCCTCGATACCTCTCAGGATGCGGATCAGCTCGCGGGTCGTCCAGCCACCGGGCTCAGGGGTACCGGTGCCAGGGGCAAAGGCGGGATCCAGCACGTCGATGTCGATCGACAGGTACACGGGGTCCTCCGTCCCGAGCGTCTCCATGATGGTCTTGACGATGCCGGCCGTGCCGATCTCGTCAATGTCGTCGGCGGCGATGCGCACCCAGTTCTGCGCCGTGTCGTCCTCGTGGTCGGAAAAGTCCGTGCCGGACAGACGGGTGCGCAGGCCTGCGTGGACGGAGGGTGCGGACGTGGTGTTGGACAAGAGGCCCTCGTTGCCGGCCATCCAGAACATTGAGCCGTGGTTGAATTGGGTCGACGTCCAGTAGGAGGGGTACTTTTCCGGGTGCCAGGTGTCCAGGTGCGCGTCGAAGTGCAGCACGCGGAGCTGGCCGTAAGTCTCCTTCAACGCCCTGAGCGCGGGCAGCGCTAGGCTGTGATCGCCGCCGAGGGTGATCAGCTTGGGCTTGCTCAGAGATGAGGAGACGGGCTTCCTCTGTCCCAGCTCCCTGAAGGCGGTGCTCATCTGGTCGAGAGCAATGACGTTGTCCATGGGCGTCACGGGGATGTCGCCACAGTCGATAATGGTGGCCCAGTTGGCGTACGGGTTGATGTTGGCACGGGGATTGAAGCCACGGAAGGACGTCTGTCTGCTGGACGCCTGGCGAATCGCGCGGGGACCGAAGCGGGCGCCTGAGGGTCATGTTTCAGCTGTTGGGTTCTCACAAGCGATGCAGAGACGTTGATACCTGGTCTGTAGCTCACAGCCGTGTCGAAAGGGGCGCCGATGATGGCGATGTCGTAAAGTTCTTGGGGTGTGGTCAAGCACTTTGCGTGCTTGAGATGAGCAAACGTGCCGATGCCCGTGAAGCCTATACTTGTGAGTTGAGTATCTGATGCCACCGATGGTGATTACAAACCCCACTGCCAGAAGAGTCAGTCATGATGCCTACTCATAATGTCAGAGAGTCGGGCTCACCTCAAAGCCCCATTTGGCCTCCAGCTCATCCAGCTCAGCCTTGGTCCATTCCTTGTCGTCACCGTGGTTGCCGCAAGCAGAAGCTAGTAGAGCCGATGAGCAGCCCAGCAGCAGAGAAGTCAACTTCATGGTCCGTGTCTTTCTTCGTAGTGTATGAGTTAATCGTCTCTTGTTGATAAAGTTGGGGCAGATGGGTTGAGAGGTCGAGGTTCAGACAAGGAAAAGACGGCTGGGAAAAAATTAAATGCCTGGTTTCAAGTCTATCGGGAGAATTGCATGACAACTTAAAAAGACCAGCCGATTCGGCGGGACCGGCTCAGTGCACCGCAACCGGCCCGGCCTCCATTTGGAAGATGGCCTCAGTCTGCCACTTTCATAGATATGGCCGATTCGCCCACTTTCTTCGTTGCCGAGAAGGGCGCTACCTAGTCTCCAGTCGAAGCTCCCCCGAGGGGAAAGATACCCGCTGGCCGTGGCCCAATTGACCAATGCATCCACCGTCGTCCGTCGTTGCGGTGTCAAGCTCCTGGCCGGAGCTTCTAGGCTCCCGGAAAATGCGGAGAACATCGGGTTCGAAATAGGCAAGCTATCCGTTCTGACCAGTCAATCGACCTCCATATCCGAGGGGGGCAATAAACCGTCAACCAATGCATTAGCCTATCTTCGGCCCTCTGCTCCTTGGGTCGAATGGCCCCCGCGGAGGATGGAGGGGTAGCGTGGCCGCCGGCGAAGGGACTGCGGGGCCGGATATGCAGCTAAGCAGCGTCCGATTTCCTCCCGCTCCCCGATAAAGTCTTCAAACAGTCTATATGTAATGATCAACAAAAGGTGCATATATCCATCAGAATCGCCAATCCCATCCAAACCCAGCCGCACTCGATGCTCTCAGAATTCGTCAACAACCTGCCGATTGAGGGGTGGCTGACGTGCCTAGGCGCCAAAATACCCCAGCATCATCGGTTGGCCAACACGAACCCCCCTTTACCCTCAGAGAACAGAGCCTTGCATGTCTTGACCATCGACATCTCCACTCTTGTCCCCGGGGGCCCCATGGCCTTCCTCGTGGCGTTCGTAACCGGCTCCCGACATAGTATGCAACACCAAAGGCAGCGAGAGGATGAAGTCCAAATGCGGGGGAGGCAGGAGCGAGATTCAAAGAGAAGAGGAAAAAGCCCGGGTCTCCCCCGCGGGGCGTTTGAACCCGTTAGTAAACGGCACTAGTCTGACCACATCTGTCTCGCATTGATGGTGGCAGAGGCGCCCGAGGTGCGACGTCATTCCCCTTATGCAATACGCCTACCACCCCTCAGCCGAAAGATCGAGGGGACCAAGGGGTTTCTAGTGGTCGTTGCGCCTCTATGAGTCGTCTCCTGGGCAAGATTGCAAGATAGGCGTAGCGGAACAAAGAAAGCGGTTGTGTGGCGGCGTCAAGACTGCTGGGCAGACAGAACAACAATGCCGTCCCTGTCGCAAAGCTTACTGCTCACCATCCATTGCCCATCGCGTGTGTTTGTCTGCCTCAACGTGGTGGCGGTAATGCTGTCATTTCTCCCTCTCCCTCTCCTGCAGGCACCATCAGGGCCTTTGGATGGCGTACTCGGGGCCGAGAGAGGAACTTGCACGCAGGAATGACTCGCCGGGCCGATAGGTGGTGTAAACACCGAGTCTGTGGTGCGATGGACGAAGCAAGGTTCCTGGACTGGCCGGTGCTCATCGTCAGTGTGTCTGTACGCCCGTCCAATCATCGCAAAATGAACCGAATAGAGAATAGGGTCACCAAGCACTTCAGCGCGAAAAAAATTGACCATCGATTTAAAGTGCACTCCAATCGCCAAACTGTCCTATCGAAGTATTCCTGCCTGCGTGTGATGAATTTACCCATCCCTAAATGTAGAAAGAAGCAAGAAAGACCACCAAGATCCGGGCTAGGGGACAAGGAGCTCGAGGGGCTAGGAAGAGGGAAGAGGGTAGTAGGTTGGGGGTAGAGAGAGAAGGGGGGAGGGGAGGCGATGAGAGGACCTTTGGGAGTTTGGGAACCAAGTATACAAGGGGAAATACAGCCCGTCGTTTTGATCCGTTTCCCTCTTTTCCTGCAGTCCCCCTCGTGACGAAAGATGCCTGATAGCCCGGACTGTCGGTCAGATGGTCCAATCCAAGCCTCGCTGTCGTTGAACCAGGAAGCCCAATCCATTAATTCGCGAGAGATGACTGCCCTGATCGGTTCCAGAGTTGCGGCTAACCAAGATCCAGCGTGTCCTATGCCATGCGCGCTGCAAACAAAAAGAGGCCCAAAATGCCATTCAAAGCCGGATGTCCAGAACCGTTTGCGCGCGCATCTGGAAGGCAAGAGAAAAGGCCCAAGCCTGGTTCTCGGCTTTTTCGCTCGCCGCCAGAGCCAGAACCTGGGCAGGGCGGAAGGAAGCGAGACCCGTGGGGAGAGGGTTCGCAATCAGAGGACAAGGCACTTGTGCGACTTCTTCTTGGGAGCAGGGGGCTCCAGAGCCGCAACGATCGCCTGTACACGGGTTAGTCGCGCATCATGGCAACGATGACGGAGAAAGGCCGTACCTCATCAAAGACATCCTTCAACTTGAACTGCGTCAGAGCACTGCACTCGACGTACTTCACCGCTCCCAAGTCCTTCGCCATCCGCTCGCCATCCTCTTTCCGTACGGGAGACATCTTCTGCTTAGAAAGCTTCTCGCGCACGCTGGGATCCTCTCTCAAGTCCACCTGGGTGCCGACGATAAGGCAGGGGACGCCAGGGCAGTGGTGATGTACCTCGGGGAACCACTTCTCGCGGACGTTCTCGAAGGAGGCGGGTGATGTGACGCTGAAGCAGACGAGGAAGACGTCGGTCTGGGGGTAGGAGAGGGGGCGCAGTCTGTCGTAATCTTCCTGACCGGCGGTATCGAACAGTCCCAGGGTGTAAGGCTCATCTCCGATCCTGCAAAAAGTGGCCATCAGCGCAAGGCCTACCAAGTTTTCCCAAACAATGCCAGCAGATTCCATTCCCTTGATCCTCCCATCCCTTTTGCCCGTCCATTCATGCTAGGTCCCCCTCTTCAAAGGGCCTTGGAGCCTGGTGTTTGTGTGTCTGGAAGCGCTGGAGAAACTCACATTACAGTGACGGCGTAGTTATCGAAAACGGTCGGGACGTATTCGGAGGGGAACTTGTTCGTCGTGTAGCTGATGAGAAGGCATGTCTTTCCGACCGCACCGTCGCCGACGACAACGCACCTGGAGGATGAGGGTCAGTTCTGGTCCTGAGCACAATGCCCAGTGACATGCGCGCTTTGATGACTGCGGTGAGAGTGAGGGAGAGAGAGGGGTCAGCCCAATCCAGAGGCAGCCAGCGCCAGAGAGGGCAGCCTCGGCCATCTGGCTAAATGGGCAGTATGGCCATGACGAGCGACAACATCTAGATGGGCGAAGATATTGAGGCAGGTGGAACAGAGTGACACAGCTGGAGTCGAGGGACTACAACTTGTGACTGGGGAAGGGGATGGAGATGGGAATAGGGCCACGGCAAAACGGGGAGAAAATGTACGCACTTGATAGTAGCGACGACCATTGTCTAGATCAAAGATGCTCCTGTGCAGGAGCAGAGACCTGGGGAAGAAAAAAAATAAGACTGGTCTCTCAGTCTCTCCCTTATCGCGCGGCGCGTCGTCGAGTGTCTCTGGTCTTGTCGGGGTGTGATTTCCAGGCGGGTAAGGTAGGCAGGTAGGTTGGAGAGTGGCAGTGGTAGTTGGTAGCAGTGGTGGTTGCCGTCGCTGCAGGGCGAAAGATGGGTAGTGGAGACGGTCGAATCGAAATGGGGGGGCGCGGCGAGGAGGAACGTGGAACGGGTCCTTGTTCGAAGCCGCAGGTAGGCAGGCAGGGCGGGTGGTGGTGGTGGTTAGTTGGAGAAGGAGAGAGGGTCCAGGGTGAGCAGGTCGAGTAGGCCCGTCTTGCAAGGTAAGCGTGGGATTGGAAGTGTAAGGTAGCGGCGTCGCAGGAATAAGGCAGGGCCCGGCCAGGCAAGCTAGCGGGTCGGGTAGGTGAGTGGGTGGGAGTGGCAGAGGAGGTCAGTTGTGCGTGGTGTTGTCAAGTAAGAACGGCCAACGGAGAGGAGCAGGTGGGCGGGCGAGGTTAGGGAGAAGAAAAAAAAAAAAAGGCAAGAGGTGACACTGGCGAATGGTGATGAATGGGTGAATGGGTGGATGGGGGGGCCGTCCCAACCAAGGTCGCAAGTGAGATGTCGTCGGGGATTTTTTTGTGTTCTTTTTTAGCAGCGATGGCGCCGGGCGGTCTCGACACACACGCGGGAAAGTGGAACAGCAGGCCCGACCTGGAAGTAAGGTAATAGAAGGGGGGGAAAGGGGTCACCTTGGGGGTGGAAAGCCAGAGGCGAGGAGCGGGCAAAAATGAATAATGAAATAAGTTTTCTGGGTGACGACCAGCAGCCTGAGGACCTGAACGCTTGGAGTGAGGTGTTCCGTCAGGGAAGGAAAGCACCATGGACTACGGATACCTGGACAGACTACAAGTACCTGCGACGGCAGGGGATCGAGGGGCAGAAAATAAGAAAAGAGAAGGGAAAAAGAAAAGAAAAAAAAAATGTGAAAAGATTCCGCACGCAAACCGGTAATTAGTAGACACGATGGGCGGCTGCAGGAACAGTACCTTGCACCGCGAGGCCTGTGTTGGTTGTGCCAAATAAAATAAAGGTATTCGAGGATTGAAAAAGAAAAGAGAAAATTAAAAGGTTCCCTCTGAGGTTGCTGTTGATCATGGCACGCACGCAAACTTTGGTCCCATCTACGGAGGCAGGCAGCGGCTGCAGTAGCACGAATAGTGGTACCAAGTCATGGTCCAGTGGCCATGGCCAAACTCGTGCTTGGTAGGCAGGAGCATGCCAGCTTGTTCCGGAAAGCAACGTAAATGAGATCCATGAATGGCAATCTACAGATACCCAGGCAGGCCAGATATGGCAGGCCCTTCTCAGAGGCTAAAGATGACAACCTATCAACCTATCTTACCTTGCCTTGGACAAACATACAACACATGCGATCTGGAAAGGGGGGGAAAAGCCCACACTCCTTTCCTCACGAATACCTTTGACAGAACAGGTCGGTGATTCGGAG